CCCCCCCCTCCGTAAAAATACTAAGGAGTTCCACAAGACTTAGCCCTTAGCCTTTATTTGAACCCTGTAAACAAGCAAATAATCGGATTGTTTTAATTTGAAATAGCTTACCAAGATAGCCTTCTTGTTTGAAACATAATCTGAAAAATTCATTATGTGTTACAATCATCTACTTTTATTAAAATGGGTGGCTAGGGTTTTCATCACTCGATTACTCGGTAAATCTACTCCGTTGTCAACGCGCCTTGTTCACAACTCACAACTCCCCCGTGGCGCCTCCAACCCACCACTGACCTAGTATTACTGCTGAGCAATCTATAAAATGGTGTGAGCGCATCGCGTTGTTTTGGGGCATGCAAGTTGTCGAAGTTAGTTGTCCGCCGCCCCGGTGAAAGGGTTGAAAGCTGTCTAAAGCCCTGAGGACCCTCTGGTCATTCCCTACCCCCACCCGTCCTCGTTCTCCAGGCCGCGCCGGAGGGGGGAGGGCGGCTGCGCGGCACATGTGACTTGCGCGACCCGGCGGCTCGGCTCGCCCCGGCCCGGTCAGGAGAGTCGGGAGGAGGGGTAAGGTGAGGGGGCGGGCGGTAGGGCACGACACGGCACGGCACGGCAGAGGACGAGAAGCATGGCAGCGCTGCAGCCGCAGCAGCCGCCGCGCCGGACTAGACCGCCAGACCCGCCAGCGCCAGCGCAGGAGTTGGCTGCTGGAGACAGTCAGTCGTCAGTCGTCCCAGTGAGTCAGTCCACCCCTAGCCCTAGTCCTTGCCAGAGTCAGTCAGTCAGGGCGAGTCGTCTAGTTGTGTTGTACCTCGCCGTGTGTGTCCTCCTGTTCAGCTGACCTCAGCCCTGCCATCGCGACGTGCCCAGTGTTCAGTGTCGTGGATGTGCTTCGGATTGCAAACTTCATCCATGACTGCCATGCGCAAGCGGGGGTTGTGATGGTTGTGATGTGATTAGTGATTGCGCGCCGCCGGCGCATCAGGTGTTTGTGAGTGAGCCCTTCTCCTTCCTCGCCGCAGCCTCTGCCGTTTTCAGGGCGATTGCCCGCCAACCCCGAAAAGGTTTGTTTACTACGCCCTGTGATGGCACAGGGGCCGCAATGCAAATGCGCTCTAATGCCGTTATTTTTGACTAGGTGTCTGTAATTGTCTTATTTATGTCCCCTTTCTTCTGGTTTTATTGGTGGCCTACTCGCCGCCCGGCGGCACGCCTTTGTCCGCCACTGCGCCACAACAAACATAGCGCCAGTTGACCGCTCTCCATGTCAACAACAACTCCGTTGGCGCGACAGGTCCAGACAGGTAGAGCAGATCACAAGTGCGCACGCCGCCGCGGCCCCCGCCGGTCGCCCGCCGGCCGCTGGGCTGGAGGAGGCGAGATCTTTGCGGCGGACTACTTTGTTATTTGTTTGTGCTTTATTGGGGGGCCGTCGCGTCGGGCCCGTCCGTTGCCTGGGTCTTATTTCCCGCCATGTTTTGCATCGAGCTCTTTGGGACCCCACTTTGGTTTCTCAAGCCGACCCCCCCAGTTTCCGCTGAACCTAACCTATTCACACTCCATGTCTGGACCTTACTTAAAGTTGCGTCCTTGAACTTAACAGAAATGTGTTCGTCGACCTCAAAATCACTTGCGTTAATCTTTCGTGATACAGGGCGCGCTTCTCACGCTCTCGGTTTCTTATCAAAGTCTGTTCGTTATCGACTGAAGGACCCTCTGTCCCTCCATTTTTCTCGAGAAACTCAGGGACCGGACGCTGGTTCCTAAAGTTGACAACTCTGTGATTTGTGTACGAGCCCCTCCCCCTCCTTCCCTTCTCCCTTGCAGCCTGAATGCCTCGATCTTTTTAATTTATTTTTTCCTGCCGTGTCTGTTACAAAGTGTCGTTTGCATAAGTTCATAGTCTAGCTCTTGGTAGTATTATGTAGAAGTGGGGGGCACTGCTGTGCCTCGCGGAGGAAGGGGGGGGGTCTAAAATCCGTGCAGGTGGTTTGTTGTGAACGGGCCGGACGGGCCGCATGGTGGCGTCCCGGTTAGGCGATGACTTGTTTGTTGTTTCCGGTGCAAGGCCGGGTGTGCGATGTCTGTCGCTCCCCTCTTCCCTTCCCCATGTAGGCCGACGGGCTTCGATCGGTTTGTATTTGAAGAGAACTACTACCCCGAGGCCCGGCCCGCAGGCGCCGCGGACTCTACCGGTGTTCTGAGAAGCGTGGGGAAGAGGGGAGGGGGGCGTCCTCCAGGCCTCTCGAGGAGCGGGTTGTGGTGGTCAGGGTCACGGAGTGCTGGGCCGAGCCATGACGCAATCGCCGCGGCTTAGCATGACACACGCCAAGACTTGGGAGGAGCCGAGCGTATACGCGAGAGACGAACGCCAACCTGCCGTACCGCACCTGCTCGAAGCCCTGGAGAGGCCCATAATCTCTGGCTGTCCCAACAGTGTCATTTCCTTTATTTGATCTGACCTTACCTTTCTCTAATCCGACAGCCGATGCAGCCCAGGAATTTGTTCGCGGGCCGCACCCACGACCCTCCTGGCCCCGGCCCGCCCTCCGGCTACGACCAGGGCGGCTACAATCAGCAGCAGCAGCATGACCCTTCCTGGCCGAGCCCGGCCCGGCCCCAGAGCGCCGAGTACTACGGAAGCTACGGCGACTACTACCATACGCCCGGCTACCAGCCGCAGTACTACGGCCACGTGAGCTGCACGCCGCAGAGCCCGTACCCATACCAGGACTCTGGTTACGGCTACTGGAACGGCGACCAGGGCTATGGCGGCGCTACGCCCGCGCACTCCGAGAAGAGCGGCTCGTATGGCAGCACCCCGGGGCAGGACTACAACGGCCACTATGGCTACGACTACTCGTTGGTAAGCTGCGCGTTACCCTTCTCACCTCACGCTACGCTGACCTCTTGATGAACTCGCGCGCCCGCCCATCCCACGATGCCCGCCCCCCTGAGTGCTCTCCTTATCGTCGGCTTCTCCCACCTCCCTAGTCTCATGTACATTATTTTCTTGTGACTCATTGCCCTCGTAACCAATGCCCCATTTGTACCCCCCCCCTCCCAATGTATTCCCCACGCGCTCATTGCATTGCCTCCCCATGTATTCCCGCGTATGGTGTGTTACAGTATGTTGCCGGTTCGGAGGCATCCTGGCAGTACCGCACGCCCCAGACGGGCGATTGGCGGGAGCCCCTGAAGGAGGTGCCCTCCAACTTGTCGAGGACGGGCGTCCAGCAGTACGGGGACCCATCGGCGTGGAGCACGCACGGCACTCAGCCGCGGCCGCCGCTGTACGCCCGGGCGCCCCAGCCGCCGCCGCCGCCGCCAGAGACGCGGCCGCCGCGGTACGCTCCCGCGCCGCAGCCGTGCCCGCCGCCGATGTGCCCGCCGCCGTACTCGCCGCCCCGCCTGGCGCCGCGCGCCCAGCCCATCCGGGCCCGGACGGACTCCTCTCTGCCCCCGGTGCAGCCCTGGCCGCTGCCCCCCAGAGACGTCCACCCGGCCGACAGGGCGGCAGACAGGGCGACCCGCGCCCCCGAGGCGACTCCGGCAAACAGGTGAGGGTAAATCGCAAATTGCGCTGCGCATTCAATGCGTAGCGAATGGTTCCAGACCGACTCGGACAGGCACCGGATGTTGACGATGCCGATAACATGTTGCACTCATCTGCATTATCATAAGACACTCTCTTATCGGGGTACGGCTCCCCCTCCCCTCCCCCCCTCGCGCTTGCTGCTCTGCCACCCCCCTCTCAGCATCCTTGCGCTGTTGTGTACATGCCTGAAGTGAACTAGAAAGTGATACGCTCCAAGCGACATGCTCTTCTTTATTTACATGTTGAGCGGCTCCTATTGTTGGCGACAGCGGAATGCCGACGGAATACTCTGACCAGACTATGTTTTGGATACGACATTGTTGAAAATTTGGGCCGAGGAGCGGCGCGCCCACGTTCAGGCGCCTCCCCGCAGGGCGTGTCCGTCCCCGCTGCATTATATTTTTGCCTTGCCGAGCGCACCCCCTTACCTCCCGCCCCATCCCCTCATCCTCTCCCCTCCACGCTGCGCCACGCGTCTCCTCGGCGCCGCATTCGGGTACGTTCGGCGACCACTTCGGCGGCGGCCCCTCCGCCCCGCGCCCTGCCCGCCATCCCCTCTCCCCAGCCTCTCGCGGCCGAGTCGAGCGGCCAGCCTAGGCTGGCAGCGTCCACCACCCGGCGGGGCAGTAGTTCGCCGCTCTTCACGGGAGCAAGCCCACGCCGCTCCAGCCCAGCACCAAGTCGAGGCCGAGTCGGACGCCCCAGTGGGGCCTCAGGGGCAATGCCTCGATTCCACGAATTCCGTGGGAGAGGCGGCCGACAGCCTCAGCAGCAGCGCTTCCTGACGCCGGTGGAGCAGCAGCCGTACGCGCGCGCGCCTGAGTTCCACCCCCGTCAAGTGTTCGATTATGGACACGACTCGGGTTGGCTTGGCGGCCCCCCGAACTGTGACTCCTCGGGGCCGCCGCCGCCTCCGCCCGCCCGCGCGTTCCGCGACGACCCCAGAGATCACCAGCGCCAGCGCCGCCGCTCGGAGAACAGCGACAGGTCGCGGTCTCCCCTCCGCCGTCAAGAGCACCACAGAGAGGACAGGCCGAGGGGCCGCGAAGACCAAGGCCGCGAGCGGTACCATGACCACCACCAGGCCTACTACCAAGGCCACAACCGAGGTGGTCGCGGGTCGAACCGCGGCACCCCTGTATTCCCTCGCGGCCGCGGCCAAGGCCCTCGTAGAGGAGGGTACCGAGGCAAGCCTGAAAACTACCGCGGTCACGGCGGCGGGTACCGAGGCTCGTCCAGAGGCGGTGGACGCGGGGGCCCCTCGTTCAAGCCCCGCGGCCGCCCCAATGACCACCCCCGGAGCCCTCCTGGCAGATTCCGCGACGGCCGTCGTCGGGAAGACAACGACTTCGTGCCGACCCGCCGGTTCCCCCCATCGCCACCACCACCAGCTCAACGACCTCCGCCGCCACGCCGCGGCGAATACGGCGAATACGACCGCTTCGCAACAGAGCGACCCAAGAATGCTGAAGTCAGCAAGAAGTAAGTTACATCGAGATTGTGGGGGCCGTGGCGTTCAGGTCGTCGCCATCCTCACGCGTTTGCCCTGGCGTTGGACGGGCCATGTGGACTTCGTGCCGCTGCCATTGTTGCGACGCCCGGGGCGTGGACTTCCCTCGAGCCGCCGCCATTGCTCTGACGCCTGTGGCGCTGCTGTACTCGGCCTGCTGAAGAACCACGCAGTGGCTGGGCAGAACAACCTAGCTCCGCTTGTCGTCTGCTCTTCGGCGCCTAGTGCGTGAAGCCCAACTATTTCCTCTCGTTTAGGGTCAACACTCAACACGCCCTCCGTCCGCGTTGTGACACACTCGGACGGCACCAGGGGCGTGCTGTAGTTGACGGCCAACCAAACCGGTTTCTCATGGGTACTTCGAAGTCGTCTATCCCCATCCCCCCTCCCGCTTTTCCTCTCCCTTCGCCCTCTTCCCCGGAGTCTGCTCGGCGTTCGTGACCATCAATTCCCCCGTTTTAGTCGAGAAATAAACGAAACAATCCTCTCTGGTTATCCCAAGCCACCCCCTTCTGGGGAGGTAACACCTAAGACTAAGCCGCTTGGTATTATACCGGGGCTTTGGGGCTCTCTGACTGTCGCCCTTAATATCCCTGCAACAAATTCCTCGAAGAGGTGCAGGGTGAAATTTCTGGGGTGACCCGGTGACCCCTGTTCAGGTGACGGGGTTTGTGTGGGGAAAGGCCCCCCCCACACACACACACTCACCTCCAGCCCCACATGGCAAGGGTGTGGTGGCCAGCTGCACTGCAGCTGCGCTACACCGGCGCCATGCCCCCCCCCCCCTCCTTTTTCCCCACACCAGATAATTTAACACCTGAACCGGAAACAGCACACCGCCCGTCGCCGGTCAATTTGTTGATTGGTTATCAAACCTCAATCGGGGCTTGAAACTGATCCGAAATCATACAACACGAGCCGTGCGGGGCCACTGTTTGGTCACGCCATCTGCTAAAAAAATAGGATGTAACACACAATCACCAGATCTCACAACAAGTGTCCCAGTGAGAAATGAAATGTCGGACTGATATCTGAGCGATATCATTTGTCAATTTTTATATCACTTCATATTACTTTTATTTCATTTCTCACTGGTCTCAATAATATAAACACCATAACTTTTTGTTGTGTGTGTGTGGG